GGGGCCTGGGCCTGGGTCTGCGGGCGCCCCGTCTGGCGGGGTTCCGAGGCGGCGTCGGCATCAGTGCAGGCCCTGCCCCGGGAGCTCATCCAGTCCCCTTTCACCCGTCTCGTCCCCAGCTCTAGACTCGAGGCCCTGTCCCCTGAACTCTGCCCTCGGATGTCCGACCGCCCAGAGCCTGCATGCGCCGTGGGGCGCCCCAGGACCAGGAGCTGGTGGGTCCGGGGGCCCCTGGGCGAGGGTCCCGGGGCGCCCCTCCAGCCTCGGGGCCCGTTGTCCCGGTCCTCGTCTTTCCTCCGGATCTAGTATTCAGAGCGGACCAGCGGAGCGGTCCCCGACAGCTGCTGACCCTCTATAACCCCACGGGAACGGCCCTTCGCTTCCGAGGTAAAGGGGTGGGCGCCTCGTGCAGGGGGTCTGGGGACTGGCGGCGAGATACTGCGAGGCTGTGCCGGCCAGAGGCGTCAGATGGGGAGAGTGGAGGGCGGGCCGAGCCAGAAGACGGAGGGGACTGTGTGACCCTCCGTGGTCAGGGCTTGTCTTTGTGTGCCTTTATCCCCCAGTCCTATGCACGGCACCTGCCAAATACACGGTGTTTGACGCGGAAGGATACGTGAAGCCTCAGTCTTGCATCGACATGTGAGTTTGGGGGGGCGGCGCTGGTGGAAGCCAGAGGTCTCTGCCACTTGTCGATCTGAGACTTACCCTTTTTCACCTGTTTGCCCCACCCTCTGTCTGTGTCCCGAAGGGTACGGGTTCCTGAGGGGGAAAGGCCTGGTTTACTGGGATCACTGCCTCTCACTCACTTCTCCTCAATGGGTTTCTCTACTTTGGGGCCAGTGTGATTCGCCACTTGGCCCCGGTTCCCAGCCACTATGATGTCCAGGACCGCTTCCGCATTGAGCTGTCCGAGGAGGGAGCTGAGGGCCGAGTGGTGGGACGCAAGGACATTACCTCGGTTCTGAGAGCTCCAGCATGTCCCCTCGAGCTTCAGGGACAGCCCAACCCAACGCCCCAGCCAGGGCCTCCTGCTGGGACAGCACCACCCACGGCCAGACACTTGCGGGAGAGTAAGTCTGGAGATGGGGTGCTCGAGTTCTGGAGACGGGGAGGAACTAGCGTTACCCTAGAGATGAGCTAAACTGGATTTGCAGGAGTCTCCTGGTTCAGTCTTTTGCCTTCTGGTGGAAACATTCCTAGCCATTGAGATTTTGTATTAGATAAGGGGGGGAAGAATTCCTGGTTTCTGACTTCAACTTAGAGGAAAAAGTTCTTCCTTAGCTCTAACTGAAGTACTTCCTAGCATGTGCCAGCTCAATTCAGTGTGATGAAAACTCCGTATTGACTACTTCCCCGGCAGGGGTGATACCACGATCATGAAGGTGGTTCTCCCAGGGCAAGAGCTATCCGTTGCACTCCGGACGTGCTGACCTCTGTGATTTCCCCAAGTGTGGGAAACTGGACTGCATCATTTGTGGTAGTGGGGGAACAAAAAAGCAAAACCGTATTGAGTGATTAGTATAGAGTCACGTGCTAGGTATGGGAGAGCCAGCAATATCCTTGCCTGTCAGAAAGGTGCGCAGAAGACGGTCATGCAGGCAGAGTGAACGGAGAAAACGAACGCTCAGGGGCCAGAGGAGAGAGAATTTCTGACTATGGTGGAGACAGAGGCTCCAGGGAGGAGAGGACACTCGCTGTCCTTCTAGGTTCGGTCTCCTCCCAGAGGACCTTGGGCTGGCCGGGAGGAGGGGCTCCGGCTTCTGATGGGCCTCGTTTCTCAGACCCCCACCAGCCGCTGGCTCCCAGCTCCTTCCTCCTGTTCCTGCTGACGGGGATCATCTCTGTGGCCTTCCTGCTGCTCCCGCTTCAGGACGAGCTCGGCAGCCAGCTGCCTCAGGTTCTGCACGTCTCCCTGGGGCAGAAGTTGGTGGCAGCCTACGTCTTGGGTGAGCACAGCAGGGGCTGGGGACCCAGGGCTGACAAAGAGGGAGCAGAGGTCGAAGGAGAGCCGGCAGAGTCCCGGGGCTGCTCCGGCATCCTGACTCTGCATTTGTCCCCTCTCCAGGACTCCTCACCATGGTGTTCCTTCGGACCTGAGCGCCCCGTTCAACCCGCGACCTCCCCGCCCTCCCTGGGCCAGGGACTCGAGGCAGCCACTGTGATGCTCATACCTTGCCTCTGTTCCTTCTCTCCCCTCCTTCCTGCCCACCCCCGCCTCCCCGGAAAAAAAACGCCCAGGGATTTGTACTCATTTTCCAAGTTGAATAAAATAAAAATTTCACACTGCGGTGAGACACGTGGGGTTCTTGCTGCTGTCTCCCCACTTCTCTCTGGGTTCCCAGCTATCCTCCAGTCCCTCTCGCTCCTCTTCCCAGGGAACCCAGGCACTTGGGGCATGAAGAGGCCCAGTGAGGATTGAGAAGACCTGAGTTCCTCCCGGGGCTGCATCAAAACACTGTGTGGGCCAGGCACGGTGGCGCAGCCTGGCATCCCAGCACTTTGGGAGGCCGAGGCGAGAGGATTGCCTGAGCCCCGGGGGCTCGAGACCAGCCTGGGCAACTTGGCGAGACCTCATCTCTATAATATTTCAAAAAATTAGTCCAGTGTGGTAGCACGTGCCTGTAGTTCTGGCTACTTGAAAGGCTGAGGTGGGAGGATCGCCGGAGCCCAGCAGGTCGAGGCTGCGGTGGCCGGGAGCGTGTCACTGCACTCCAATCTGGACGACAGAGTGAGACTCCAACTCAAAAAAAAAAAAATCCACATGAAAATCCCACCCAATCCTGCAGTAGAACTCAAGTCTCACCATCTGGAGGCAACAGAATCTCTTGCCAGAGTTTACATGTTTGCAGCCTCTAGAATGCTTTCCTGCCTGGTTGACTGTATCTGTTTTTATGTTGTTTCCCCTTTAAGACTTCAACTCCCATGGGCCAGAAACGCCAAGTTCCCTGCCGAGAGTGGGGAGGAGAAGACCTTGCTTGACACCACCTCACCTCCACCAGGCAGGAGAAACTGAGGCATGAGACAATAACAGGACCCTCAAAAAGCAGGCTTCCAGCCCCTGCCCTCCTTCAGGTGCGGGGTGAGGGGCAGCAAAGGAAGAGGGGAGCCAGGGACCCTGGGCAGATTGTTGACTGGGGACAAAGGATCCGCAAGATAATGTTAAGCCAGACCCCGTCTATCACACCTCTGGAAGGTTATCAGTTGTCCCAGCGTTACTTCGGGGGGCCACGGGACCTCCCCCTACCCTGGGAGTCTTGTCTCTCCCATATCCAAGAGTTACCCCAGTGGGGCGTGGGCCCAACAGTGTGCAAAGAATGAGTCTGGAGACTGTCCTGGGAGGGCTCTTACCGCAGCCCAGCAAACCCTCTTGCCAAGTTACATGTAGATGGAGGATAACCATTCACACCAGACTGGCAGTGCCCAAGTCCCCAAAGGGCATTTGAGGTTCCACACCAGACTAATGATCCTGCTAGTATTTGCTAGGAAAAGACTTCGTTGCCAATGTGGTCAAGCAGGCTTTCTGAGGGGCCAGGCATGGTGGCTCACATCTGTAATCCCAGCACTTTGGGAGGCCAAGGTGGGAGAATTGCCTGAGGCCAGGAGTTCCAGACCAGCTTGGGCAACATTGAGAGATCCCCTGTCTCTACCAAAAAAAATTTTTTAAGCAAGGTGTGGTGGCATTATTGGGAGGCTGAGGTGGAAAGGTTGCATGAGTTCAAGTGTTTGTGGCTGCAGTGAGCTGTGATTAAGCCCCTGCACACTCCAGCTTAGGCAGCAGAGTGAGATGGTCTCCAAAAAAAAAGGCTTTCTGGACTACAGCTGTGAAAGAGTAGTAGGAGGTGGGAAGAGCTTGGGACATAGACTTTTTTTAAGGTAAATTTTTTTAGAAAGCCATACTGAGCTTGCAGCAGTTGGGGTGGGAATGCATTCATTTCCTGTAGCTGCTGGAACAAATGATCACAAATCTAGTGGCTTAAAACAACACGAGTCTATTCTTTTACAGTTCTAGGGGAAAGAAATCCAAAGCGAGTCTTCTGAGGCCAAAATCAAGGTGTCAGCTGGGCTGCAGTCCCTTGGGAGGCACCAGGGGAGAATCCACTTCCTGGCCTTTTCCAGCTTCTCGAGGTCATCTGCAGGCCTTGGCTTCACATCTCGCTCCCTGACTGTGACCCTCTGCTTCTGTCAGCCCATTATTCTCCATCTCTGACTCCCCGCCTTCTTTTATAAAGTCCTTTGTGACTACACCCCTCTCCAGCAATGGGAACGATCTCCCTGTGTGAGCTTGCTAGGGCTGCCCTAGCAGAATGCCACAGACCAGGGGACTTCAACAACAGAAATCTATTTTCTCACAGCTCTGGAGGCTGAAAGTCCAAGATCAAAATATCGGCAAGTCTGTCTTCTTTCTGCGGCTCCTCTCCCTGGCTTGCAAATGGCTACCTTCTTGCAAACGGTCCTTCCTCTGTGGGCGCACATCCCTGGTGTCTCTTTGTGAGCCCAAATTTCCTCTTCTTGTAAGGACACCAGTCAGATTGGATTAGGGCCCGTTTTGACTTCGCGGCCTCATTTTAACTCAATCACCTCATTAAAAGGCTGTATCTCCAAAAGCAGTCATAGTATCAGGTACCAGGGGTTAGGGCTTTGACATATAAATTTGAGGGGGGGTATGGCTTATTCTATTACACTCTCCATCTCGAGATCTTTAATTCATCCATTTCAAGATCACATCTACAAAGTCTATTTGGCCACGTTAGGTAATGTGCATTCACAGGTTTCAGGGATGAGGACGTGGACATCTTTGTCCAGATCATGATTCTGTCTACCACAAGGTGCAAATGGACAAGGTGAAGAAGGGCTGAGAAGCCACTCTGGGAAACCTGTTCTGGACTGTGTGTCAGGGAAGCAAATAGAGGAGGAGGTTTCTGACCCCAGATCGGGGTCCTGAGAACCCACCAAGTCAGGTTCATTGGGCTAAGGAGGGAACGGTTTCATCCTGAAACACAGGGACTGGGGTATCCCAAGCCTTGGACCAAGAGGCCTTTATTTCCCAGTGTTCTCAAGAGCTGGGTGAGACTTCTCATGCTGTGCTGGGCACAGAGGATAAATTAGCCTGAGAGATGGGTCCTAGGATTCTGCCCTGGGAGTGAAAGTCAGGGCTGCAGCACCCTGAAGCCATGATTAAAGGTAAATGGTGTCAGCAGCACTTAGAATTTCCTGCCCTCCCACTTATACCTCAATGTCTCCACCCTCACCGGACAAGGCTGGCCAAAGGGAATTCTGCAGTGAGGTGTCCCAGGCAGGGCAACCTAAGTGGTTGTGACCATTGCAGTCTTACAGGACCCCACGATCAGAAGGAGGCCCTGTGTTTGGGCTTAATGTTCTATGGTCATCATCTTGAATTTCTTTTTTGTTTGTTTGTTTTGAGTTGGAGTCTCACTCTGTCGCCCAGATTGGAGTGCAGTGGCCGCTCCCGGCCACCGTGGCCTCGACCTGCTGGGCTCCGGTGATCCTTCCGCCTCAGCCTTCCGAGTCGCCGGAATTACAGGCACGCGCTACCACGCCTGGCTAATTTTTTGATTTATTGTAGAGATGAGGTCTCGCCTGCTCAGGCGGGTCTTGAACCCGCGGGCTCAGGCCATCCACTCACCTCAGCCTCCCAAAGGCGTGGGATGACAGGCTGAGCCACCGAGCCCGGCTTGAATTTCTTAATAATTTTCTCTGAAATTATGTTTTGGAAGTGCCCAAGGGAGTGTGACATTAAATAGCAAATAAAATAGCACCACGACAGGTTGAGACACTGTGGAAAAAAGAGGGAAGGTGTGTTCCTGCTTTTTGAACAAGGGGCCCTGCATTTTAATTGTGTACCAGGCCTTGCAAAGTTACGTAACTGACCCTGGTCCCAGGAGAAGGCACAGAGCCAGGTCCCCATCCCATGGTGGTCTTTGGAGAATGGGCCTTCAGGCAGTCTCCTTAGATGACAGGAGTAGCTCAGTTTCCCCCATGAAAACAGCACTCCCACTTGCAACGTCTCTGGTCCCTCTGTCCAATCCATCCCTAGGTCTCAAGGGAGGGAAGATTGGGTGAGGAAGAAGCACCAAGGTGCTCATGAACAAGATGTCATCAGGTGGTTTATTGATGTCCAGATCCCACACTCCTCCTGCCCCCCGCCCCAGACCAACTGTTGGCCGTAAGACTATGGTAGCAGCAATCTCTCCAAAGAGAGCTGGCTAGGTTCCAGGGCCTAGCAAACCTACCAGAGGGGTCTTTGGGAACGGAGGACCCTACTCCAGAAAAGAGAGGAGCAGTGATTGGCCCAAGGGATGCTGCTGGTTCATGAGCTGACAGTATGACCGTCACATTGTGAAATGACTGCTCACCTACACTGCAGGGCCAGGGGGTTCTGACCCCAGTTCAGGGTCCTGAGAACCCACCAAGTCAGGCTTGGCGTGTGGGTGTTCAGGTGTGTGGGTATCCGCACCGGAACCCAGGCTCCGCGGAAGGGCAGGAAGGGCTAATGAGAGATCAGCCAGCAATGACAGGCGACTGGGCCGCCTCCCTCCCCCTGAATCGCTCAAGAGGGAGCGGGGGCGCTCCCGGCAAAGGGGCACGCAGGGACCTCCGGGGCCTCAGAAGTTGTTATCTATGTTCCAGACGTCCCCACTAAGAGCATTGGCTGCTCCCTGCAGCGTCCAGGTGAGTAGGGCGAGCTGGCGCCGGAAGCGGCTCTCCTGGAAGCCCTGGCCGGGCGCCACCCGGGAGGAGGCGGCCCCCGAGGCCCCGGAGCTGTTAGAGCGCAGCAACCGCAGGTGGTCCAGCAGGGCGTCCAGCGTGTGATCTCCACGGCCCAGGAAGATGTGGCGAAACGGAGAGTCGGCAGGCGACACGTACTGGGACAGGAAGTAGAACTCCACCTGCGCGGAGACGGGCACCAGGTCGGGTGGGGGCTCCGGCCCACTGAGACTGGGACCCAGGCCCGGCTCAATAAATAGGATGGAGCGCCTTCCTTAAGTACCGCCTCCCTTCGGCTGCCCAATCAGGCATGGCCATCCTGTGACGTCACCAGTAGCTGGGTGAGAAGCGTCCTCCCGCTGTGTTTTGGGCTGTATCCCCTTCTCTCCATCGCTAGCGCTCCCAAGCCTGCACCCAGGGCTCCCTAGTCTTCCTTTCTCGCCTGCCCAAAGCCTCAAAGAACGATCTCTTGTGCTCCTGTTCCTCTTCTTCCGACCACACCTCCCCGACGGCCGGGTCGTTCTGCCCCACGTCTGTCAATATCCACAGCCCAGAGTCAAAGGTCAAGGGGACAGGCCAGTCCCAACGAAGCGTCTGGTTTTACACCGTCACTCTCCGACCCAGACGCTGTTCCCGCTCCTGGCCTAGTCTCCTTCCCCCCTTCTGCCAGCCTCTCTGGTTCCTTCTGTTCCTGCCTGTGGGCAGAGGTCTCCAGGTTCCGCCTCCCCCTGCTCCTCTCTGTACCCACAGTCCAGTGGTTCTCAGCCCTGGCTGCTCGGAACCACCGAGGGAAGATTTGTAAATTATCGCTGGCTAGGTGCCACCCCAGCAAAATCAGATTCTCTAGAGGTGGTCTCAGAGGCGAACCCTGTTGTAGTCTCAGACGAAGGCCTCCATCGTTCACTCACAGAGCTCATCTGTGCCCCTGGCTTCAGCCAGGACCTCTGTGGAGACAGCTGCCAAATCTCCTCACCAGGTTATCCATGGGAATCCTGCCCTCCAGTCTTCTGGACTTCCCACGGGGCTAGGGAGCACCTGGACACAGCTTCACACACACACACACGCACACACACACACACACACACACACACCAGCACCAACCTCTTCCAGAACCTGAGCCTTGGGCTCACACTCATAAGCACTATGGCCTTCGCCGGGTGCCAGGCAGGGCGTCACCCTCGAAGATGAGTGTGCGTGGAATGAGCCTAGGCTTTGGGGTTAGACGGCCTGGTCTCTCTCTGACTCCGGCTTCCGCACTTACTATGTAATCTTGGGCAACTTACTTAGCCACTCTGAGCCTCAGTTTCTGAATACGATACTAGCAGCTTCACAGGGCTTTGGGGAGTCCTATGGGAGAAGATGAAGTAAAGTCCCGAGCGCGTGGCAGCCCTCTATAAATTGCATTCTCTTCTTCCCCCGATACTCAGTCTGTCCACTTCTGAGCACACGCTTCACATCAGCCCAGTCCTCAATGACAGGCATTTGCCGCCACCTGCCACTGCCACCTTCCCCCCTAACACCCCAGCTTGGCCATCATTAACTTCCTCCCCTCTTCACGCCATTCGCTCTGGCCAAAACCCGTCCTAAAAACTTTGCCCACATTTACCTCCCTGCTCAGAAATCTTCCTAATTTCCTTGATGCCAAGACCCTAAGAATTCAGACTTCTCATCCTGATGTTCAAGGCTCCCGACAGTGGATCCTAACCCACTATTTGGTTCCACCACCCCCACCCCGCCTCTCCACAGGGCCCCTGTTCTGGCTCTGCTGGTCCACACCCTGCTTCCAAGGAAGGCCAGACCTGCTTCACTGCCACGCCCTTATTCTGGGTCTCTCCACCCTGAAATGTCCTCTTTTCTTTGCACTAACCCACGTACTGGCTGTTCTTCAAGATCTAAGCCACAGTCTAAAGCAGAGGTCAGCAAACTTTTTCTGCAAAAAGCCAGATAGTAAATACTTTAGGCTTTGCGGGCCATACTGTTTCTCTTGCAACTACTCAGCCTCGCTGCTGTGGCACAAAAGTAGCCATAGCCAATAGGAAAACCATGGGCAGGCTGTGTTGCAACTTTATTTACAAAAACAGGCAGCAGGTTGAATCTGGCCCACTGGCGTTGGTTTACCACAAAGTTCCCTGAGTCTGGCCCACGCCTGAGTTCTTTCCTCTCCAGTCCTGAGCCTGGGTCTTGCAGCTTGACACGAGTGCCCTTTATCCCTTGTGGGGGAGGTGGTGGCAACTTTGGGAGGTATGCTTTTTGTGTCCAGAGTCTGACATGGCAGAGGTTAAACCAAGAGAATGAACCATGCCCTGTCTCATGTCTCACCCTGGGGTTGCATGTGTCGCAGTGGAGGGGACAAAGGCATGGGGAGAATGAGAGGAGAAAGAGAGACGAGATGGGGAGGAGGAGACTGGGCAGGAGAGGAGAATGAGACGAGCAGAAAGGAGCAGGGAAGGAAGAGCAAGAGAGACAGGTTTGTAAACAGAAAGAAGGAATGTATGACGCCAAGGGAGACAGGCAGGGGCACAAGGAGAAAAGAGCAAGGGAAAGAAAGAACACAAAACTCCAAGGGACAGGCATATTCTCTCTAAAAACCGCGGTGCGTGTGCATACATGGCTCAGTATGGAAAATGCGAGTTCCCTGCTCCCCGACCTGGCTCTGTAGGCCTTTTCCCATACCCACGTCCTACCCACCCATTTCTTGAGATCAAAGAGCTGAGGGGTTGAATTCTTGGGGTGAGGAAATGGAAAGAAGAGGAGGGGTTGGAAGTGGAGAGGAGGTGCAGGCTGCAAAGTACTCAAAGCTAAGCTTTTAAAGAGAGACTGGTGGCAAGGGAATCAGATCTTGTTTAACTTTGACATGATGCCTCTTCCAGACAGCCTTACTGGATTTTGCCCTTTTTTTTCGAGTTGGAGTCTCACTCTGTCGCCCAGGCTGGAGTGCAGTGGCACCTTCATGACCACCGCAGCCTCAACCTGCTGGTCTCAGGCGATCCTTCTGCCTCAGCCTTCCAGGTAGCTGGAACTACAGGCGTGCGCCCTCACGCCCGGCTAGTTTTTTGACTGATTGTGGAGACCAAGTCTCACCAAGTTGCCCAGGCTGGTCTCAAGCCCCTGGGCTCAGGCAGTCCTCTCACCTCGGCCTCCCAAAGTGCTTCTCCCCATCCTAATACCTGAAGGAAGAGAGCTCTCCACGCCCTGAATTTCTTTAGCCTTTCGCACCTTCCAGGCCGCAACCTGGTGCCTCTTGCACGGTGGACCATCGTGGTCATGCCCTGTCGCTCCAGAGGGGCTGGAGAGGCAGTGGGAGCCTGGGGGTCTCGTCCCCACGGGCCGGCCCTCCTTGTGTACGCCGCCACTTTGCAGGGCCT